AGAGATATTCTTGATTGAGTGTTGAACTGTTTTAGTGGAACCACCTATGACGTCATCACTTTTAATACAAAAACGTGAATATCTCTAAAACGAAAAAAGATATTCCAAAAAGGAAAACGGCATTCTTCTTTACTTTGAAAAGCCTTTCAAATCAGCAGCAATTATTTTTTACTCCATAGGCACTTTAAAGTACCGATGGAATACCTTTTGAACATTTGGCGTATTTTGAGAATCATAGCCAAACACCACTCACTGACTTGTAGCACAAACACTGCTATTTGCACGAAGGCAGAATGCAACAACATCATTTATATGGCACGACCCACCTCTCTCCCCACACCCCACCCCAATCCTTCTCTCTTTCTCACCACCCCATCCCGCCCCATCCTGTTTATCTCAATCAATAAAAATAGACTACACTTCACAACGTTTTTTTGGAGAGCAGTACGCAGGAGCACCAGTTATGAAGCACGACCCACCTCTCTAACCACCACAACCATCTTTTTTCTTCCCCATCCCCACTCTGCTTATCACAATCAATAAAACAAATTACACTCCAAGAAATGTATCATAAATCAGGCCTTAAATTTATTACATACATGTCTATACAATGCGAAAGGCGAGATTTCCGCTTTCAATCTTTTCATTAACTCCAGAATAACTATGTACACTTATTGAATAACTATTTTACTAAAATTCGTGCCTGTTCCAAATAAGCGAAATGCGACGCCAGAGAAGAGAGAGAAGAGAGATTTGTCTTAGCCTCTTTTCACGTTCCCGCCATATTCTAGAAATTATTCAATTCATCTCATTAAAATCTCCTAACAATGCTACAAAACCCACAATACTATATACAAAATTTTTCCATGAGCACTATCATAAGCATGATTTCGAAAAGTCAAAACCCGCTGCGCATATTTCCATTGATTGAAACCAAAATAAAGTGGTCCACTTTTGTTAAAAATCGCTGTTTAAATGCGCTGAAGCCGTAAAGAGAGCAAAATACTTTTGCTGTCGTGGCTTGAAAAAATTACTCTAAGCCAATTACAACTTAATCTCTCTTTCAAAATTCTCTTAATATTTTCATCTTGGTGTTTAACGCATATCGTGTACCAGCGAAGGTACTCTGTAATAATTTTTGCACTGCTCGTGAAGTAAGATTGCCTTCAGGTAGTGCTCTTCTTGATACTAGACTATTTTACATTAAATTGAAACCCTCTTCATGTGGTTTAAACTCTTGAACAAGTGCAATCTTGGGGAGAACAAGATCTTGCAGTTCCACCTCCTAATATTGAAGTGGACGACGAGCCTATTCTGTCAGCGTTCGGCGACAGAAGGCTAAGAGAGTTCAGGGGTGGACTGTAAGGGCCTGGCATCAAGGAACACTGTTGATCAGCCATGTCACATTCGGTGCACATAGGGTAACACCCTCCTAGTAGTGAGTGACGTATATGTGGTAGGCTGTTTATTTTCTGGTGGCGACGCCATTTTGCCCGGCGATTAGAGAACCAAACCTGTGGAACAATGAAAACATTAATTTCCGTTTCCCTAGTTACAGAAGCTAGGGACATATATGCTTATTTTAGCATCTATATTATGATTACGATACTTTTAGGTAAACCAATCTTTGATTCCAATCGCCAGACGAATTACTGAAATGAGTATCTGAGATTACTTTTGCCAACATGCGTGTTCTATAAACAAACCTTGCTTTTTTTATTGTTTATAGTTTAAAATCATTCTTGAATTAATATCAAAATGGGTACCCGTCACAATTACAAACAAGTAGTCAGCACTGAATTAATAAATCCTTCTTAACAGATGTTATTATGGGGCCTCTCACCTGTACTCGGGCCTCTGACATGTCAATCTTATTCGCAAGCTCCTCCCTCGTGGCTACATCCGGGTAATGAGATTTTCCGAATTCTGTTTCAAGCATCTCCAATTGTTCAGGGGAAAATGTCGTTCTGTTTCGCCTTATTTTTCTCTTCTGGTTTCCTTGAGAATCACTTCCTTCCTTCCCGCTTTCACTGCCACTGTTGTAACCGGCGTTTTCAGAATTCTTATTGAAATTTTTGTTGTCTGTGTCAAAGGTGTTGTTGTTGTTGTTGTTGTTGTTGTTGCTGTTGTTGTTGTTTCTGTTATCGCAGGTGTCATCGCCGTGTTGGCTAGTTTCGTGCATGTCAACTTCTAATTCTTCCATCTGTTCGCTTTCGTCGTGCTCGGTATCGATACTTTGAACGTGAACAGGTTTTTGTTGTTCCGGTATTGTGATCTCCTTGTCTGGTGTTTCGCACTGCCTTTGGCGTTGCTCCTCGTCATCTTCTCCTTTGAGTCTCACTAAATAAAATGAACCAAAAAATTCAAAAACGAGTAAGATGAGTGTGAAAATAGTCCAGTGGGAGAGGATGCTTTAAATCTTCTGCAGCAGAACCCTTGGGGAAATGGGAGGAGGCCGCTCCAGTCTAGAAGTTACGTACTCATGAATTAGCACGAGGCTTGTTAGAAACGTCAATTTATTCCAATACAAACAATGTTTGAAGGCTCGCTATTACTGTTGCACACAATAAAGCCTATCCGGTTGTATTAACGAGGCATTTGCTGCGAGTATGTTATCCTTCTCTTAAAATTACGATCAGTTTAGGCTTTTATAATATAGAGGAGCAATTAAACAGATTATTTTACCGGGAAAATTCCCTTCGCGGTGTTCTTGGTGGCTGTTGACAGTCTGAGATGATGGAATGATTGACAACTCTGGAGGTGGTTCCAGACCCCTCCTCTCGTAGTCTTGAGGTGGAAAGTCCTCATGCTGCGGCATCGTGTGGCATGACCAGGGCATAGTAGGCTCGCAAACAGCAGACCAAGGATGGAAGCCATACATGCTGGCTAAATGTTGTCTTTCCCGCTCAATCATTGCATACTGGGCGGCTCTTTCGGCAGCTTTGTTCCGGAGAATTCGATTGATGGAACTGACGCTTGGAGTGTTTTCCCGATCACAAACGCCTTCCTCGACGAGGCGATCGCGAATCTCCCACGCAAAGATGGTGGGGTTCTGCTGCTTGTATTGCACAATTTTGGTCACAACTGGAGGCGTGGCAACCTTTGGCTTGCTCCCGCCTATCGATCCAGGACGAATAGATCCTGTTTCGTAGAACCTGCCCAGGATTTTGCTGACGCAGCCGTGTGACACCAGAAGTCGCCGAGAAATTTCGCACGGTCGGACACCACATGCGGCAAGTTGCACGATTCGATGACGAATGTAATCCGGGAGGGGCCGACCGTTCACGAAAGGTCCTCCGAGTTGATTTATCCCACCGTGACTTTGGAATAGAAAAGGCGCTGTCAAACAAACAGACAAAGAGAATTGGAATTAGTTATTAAATCTCTTCTGCGCAGTTTTATTAAAAGTTTTTGCATTGACGAATACTGAGCCCTTGCAGAATGGGTTTATACAATTCCGGACTCGGCCTGGTGTCGAGTGACTACTTTTGGCGCGAAAATCAGTGACGTTTGCCATCCCGTGCTTCCCGCGGCGAGTCGGCGACCCAGCAAAACAGTTGAGCTTTGAGCTGTAGAATCGAGTGTGCTAGCGAACTCTTCGCTCAAACTTATTTTAAATGCTTTACAGTCAAGGATAATACGATACAACAGGAACCATATAAAGGTGGATTTGTAATCCAGGATAAAAAGGCAAGGAAAAAAGGTTTGTGTCGGTTTCTCAAGCATAATCAATCGTCATGAAATGTTTTGTAAACTGACGAGCGGCGAAAGATTTGAATTTACCTTCTACGGTTTTTAGTTTAAGTTAATTTTCTACTGCTTTTTGCATTCTAGGGACAGCTTGAAGTGTGTAGTTTAGCAGCATAGCAATTGGCGACGAAGAAATGCTACATCAAACACAGGCTGAGAAGGAGAAGTCGAAACGCCTCGGAGAAACGCAATAAACTCGCTGATAATTGAGAAGTCACAATCTCATGTTTCACCGACTACTTTCTCTGGTAAGTATTATGCGAATATTCCTTTTAGTCTCTATTTCCTTTCGGCGAATGAGCTCTCCAAACGGGTAGATCTAGAAACCTCATACAGAATGCAGAATCAGGCGTAACTATAGAAGGCCGAGGTCAGCGAAGTTTGACAACAACGGAGGTCACGTAGAATCATTTGTTTGCTGATGTGGGTAGGGGGGACAGTGGTGTATTGGCAAGTTTACTTTTGGGCTTGCCCTGAGAGAATTTTGGTAAAGTTTTCATTAAATCTTAGTTAACCAATCACTAGAACAACAGTACTTCCCCTGCCATATTTAAATCAAATTATCAATGTTGTAAATCAAAGAGATCCCAGAATAAAATCATAAGTTTTTATAGAGCTCGTCAATGTTGCTTCTATATCTATTGCTATAAATAGTAATTTTACAAATAGAAGTTTGAGAGAAGTAATGGAAGTTAAGCCAGAGGTCGACAAAGCATGTAAATACATAGATAAACAAATAAATATCTATATCAATAAATTAATGCATTTTAAATACGTAAATAAAGCATATCAATAATTAGGTGCAACTGTAATCTAAACCGTTTTAAAAATGTGCCATGTATTACAACATAATTTTCTACCTTAGTTTTATGTCTACATTAATGATCATGAGTTGAAATTTGCATAGTAAAAATTATCATAGTTGCTGTTTTGGTTGTTCCCTAAGAGATGTTTAATGTAGTCTGTAATTTGAATTTAACTTGCCACTTGTTAAGTTTCAAGTTTACTAGCCAGAACCATTGATGGGGTTTCAGAATTTATGGGATACGAACGAGTGGTTGACAAATCAAATCTTGAAACATTAAAAAAGATAAATGGGTTCCCATTTTGCGGTTTTGAAATTTGTATTTGTTATTTTCATATTTACTGATCTGTCGGTGGGTACATAAAGAAGTGTAAGCTTTTTAACATAGCAATCAGATTGATCAACTGCTTAAACAAAATATCCCGTGTAAGACACCGGCGGTTAATTGGATGGAAAGGAACTCGCATTGAGCTTTGGCACGACGGTTAACAAAACTCAGTTCTCTATCACTGAATTATAAAATGGTTGTACGTATTCTGCATAAATTCGTACAAAACAGGAACTTGCTTGCACCAAACAGTGACGAATGTTTGCTCTAACATGTTAAAATGAATAAAAATGAATTTGTAATTTGCCAGATTTCTGCCCGTATTTACTAATAAATGTTGTTACATTTTGTTTCGATTTGAAGAAGACGTCGAGAGGCCATTTCAGCGTTTGTATTTCTCTCCTGTTTCTCTCGTGCTGGTGACAGGGGATGCGAGAAAAGGTTTTAGTCTACAGCGAAGCAAACACCTTCGAATACAAATCGTACATCGTACGGAGCAAGATATTTTTCAAGTTCACATATTCTACCTGCTTAACTGTTTGGTTTCTTCCTGTTTCTATTGGATTCTTCAGGCGTTCAGTTAAATTGCTTTTCGTTTAATTTTTATTCTCTCACGCAATGCTCGGTTAATTAGTTTTCTCAACAATTAAGGCTACTATAAATCATTTTTGATGGCCCGTGGTCAATTAAAAGTACAAATGGGCATAATAAAAAAGAGCAGAAACATACAAACATAACAACAGCCCGCCAAAACACGGCCAGCAAACTGAAAGTGTTAAACGCAAGTTCGAGCTTAATGATGATTTAACCATCATCACTATTTTATAATACCAGGACGGTTGCAAGATTCTAGGAAAAAAGTCGGTGTGAAATTCGATTTACAACCATATTAAAAGGCTCAGCCACCCAGCAAGGCGAAACCCGTGAACCTCCACGCGAATTTAAATCATTAGAGGAAGGTAAGCTTGTCCTTTTATTGCTTTTCAGTTGTGTTTCATTCTTAATTTTTTGACACTTCGATTTCCCACTAAATTAAGTTACCTCTTACTGTGAGAGCAATATACCGATTTTTATGCATACTAAGATAGCAAGGCTGTTTAATGAATCAATCTGGCTATCAATGTAAGTCAAATTCACCTGAATTTCATCTTTCTAATCTCCTTAAATTCAATGTTTTCGTCAAAAGTTGTGATTTGTATCCGTATCATCGTCGCATAGAAACGCCGTCATTCTGGAAAACTCCATTCAAGTAAAGTTGAATTAAAGTGAAAGATTTAAACAAAATACGTTTATTTAACTATACACACTTATTGAAAAGGGAGAATGCTTCTATTGAAAAGGCGTGACGACATATATTTCGAGAATGAAGGCGCTTTTCCGCAAGCGGGTAGTGTAAAAGACTTGTACAAACAACACAGCAGAATCCTTCAAGGAGAACGCAATGTGCTAGAATTTGAAATGGCCATTTTTTAAGTTACATTTATGTGTACGGATATTTATGTTTTCTAGACAATGCTTAGGTTTTGAGACCACGCTGAGGTTAACAAAAGTCGAAGAAACGTTTGTGTACAACACACGAGGACCCACAAGAAAAGATCAAGACTTTTTCGGTCGCGGAAACTCGGCTTAAATCGATACAACTTGAGAACGAACGCTACTAAACGGAGAACATACATCAACACTTTCTTGTCAGTGCGATAAAAGCAGCGAACGTAGCTCAAGTGGGCTCCAAAACCTCGGTTCATTTTACTTTTGATTTCCATGTTATTCTACTTAACTAACAAATTGAGTCACAGCGTCTGAAAACAACCCCAGGTTGACCCAAGCTTGTAACTTTAAATACAAAGGGAAGGCGAAGCTTTACTACTGAGCCGAACTGAGGCTTCGGGTTGCATTTTAAGGGTAACAAATTTACCTACCTAGGTGTGCCATTTTCGTCGAGATAGGGCTTCGTTTGCTCGTCCTGTTTTACACTTTCGAAAGGTGAAGTCGTAGAATAACCTAAAACAGTTGGGTGTTTTGATAGATTAGCACTACTGTGTTTAAAACAAATTGCGCTGTTCGATCTGAAGTTTTCATACCTTGTGGTCAGAAGTTTCGACAGCAATTATCTTGCGGTCAAGTTTTTTCGAATGCGACTTGATGCTTGCTCGCTCCGAGTGATCACCCTTCAATGACTGTTTAAATTCTCTTGTTCACTCAGAATTTATACCCATTTAAATCTTTTTAAAATCAAATTAAATCAGCAGCATTTTTTCTCTCAGCACCACAGCTGTGTATTTAGGTTGTTAATAGAGACACATTGCAAATCAAGGCTAAGCAATGGGGCCAAGTGGAGAGAGAATACAACAAAATCGTACCGAACCGCAGCGCTCGTCTTTGTGGACACTTTCACATGGGATTCAAGCATGCACTTGCCATCTGTCGTTTATGGCTAATAGAATACTAAATAGTCAACAGATGGTGGCTAAATTGTTCAACCCACGTGAGGCTCAAGGTAGGTCTGCCTTAATCTAATTACCCCTCCTGTACCAATTTCTGATACACCCCTAAATTTCACACCCCCTTTCGCCGGTTTCGTGTCTTATACTGCCACCTAGATCGTCTATCTTGCCCTTGGTGGCAGCCTCTGTCACAGCTTGCTGTCCAAGCGATTGTTGTTAGCGTACCTTACGCTCGACGTGTGATTCGGCTTTCTGCACTTGAACGAAATGTACCATTTTCTGGATGATGTATTGAATATAAACAGCACCTTTACTCCTTTATTGTTGGCACAAAAGATTTAGGCGTTTTATGTAATTTTCTATATTAACTTTTCTTTTATGGGAGAAATGCTATCATCTGCTGCAGATTTTAGTTTTCCACGCCAGATGAAAGAGCAAAAGATCAAAACAGAGCGAGCCGAGTAGATACTCTTTTTTCTCAGGGTAGGCCATCACCTTCATTTATTATGCAGGGAACACAAGACAGACTTGTTTTGTGAAGGCGAACAAGAGAAAATGCATACTTCGACTCAATAATGTGAGCATAGAATTATAGTTTGATGTACCGACTCAAAGCCATGTAATTAATTTGATGGAAGTGCGAATAGAAGCTTTGAAATCCCCTTAACACTCGTTACTGCCTAATGAAAAGATGGGCCAAATGTTAACTCAATTTTGTTTGTGCAATTCAAATTGGATACAATATGTCACCCATTTTTTTCTAGTCAAAATAATGGTATTTTCTATTTTCTTCGTTGATCATTTATTCAACAGTGTTTTAGAACCGAACCTGTTTAAACAAAAAATAATCAGATCCAAAAAAAATAAAATTCATTCACACTAGCAAAAAAAAGCAGTTTGTCTTTATGGCAGATAAGGCAGAAAAATACCTTTTCTAAATAACAAATGAGCTGATATCTTATCTTTTTTTCATCTTGATACATGTGAAAAAAAATAGAAAAATAGAAAAACTCTGAGAAAATTTTTACCGTGATGAAACAACATTTGCATGCATGGCATCCCCCTTCTAAGAAGAAAACATTTTCTTTGGGGGAGTTTCTCATTAAAATGCCAAATGATCATTCAACTCTCAAAAATTAATTTTTCCGTGGTAAATTGCGTTGTTTGCTTTACAGACGGCAGCGAAATCTCGAAATTGTTACTCAATCTCGAAATTCTTAAAAATCCTTTGTTGAGCCCCTTGCCACTATGGTAAATTATCTGATTGCTACATAATAAAAAGTAATTAACTACTGTTAATCTATTTATCAAGCTACAATCCCTTCTCGGCACAGCACGTATCCGTCCAGCAAAATTACCAATTTATCTGTCCAACACGAAATTAAAAACTTCCTTGTGATCGACCTTTGATTTGATTCACATTGGTCAAAGTCACATCGGGTCCTTAACCGCCGGAAATTGCTGCATTTTAGATTTCGCTCCCATCAACGCAATATTTTTTTATGTCGGTAAACGGATGAATAAAAGTTTAATTTTGAGTACAACATTGTCAAAACAGAATTGTTCTCGAGAAATTAAAGACGGCGAAATATTTCATTGAGCGGTAATACTTGTGTTCCCAAATGCCAAAGACGGAGGATTTTTTTAATGTGAATCGTGTTGCATTTAAATGTATCACGTAAGCCGTTTCATTTCCGAAAGCGGACAAAAGCGAGACCGATTTGTTATTTTTGTTTTGGCATCGCACGTTACATATGCATGCACGTATTATAAAAGCACATCTCCGAAACTTCTCCTTCCTTTGATCCGGTTTTGCAAGTTTAACGACATAACAAAACTGCATTTTCTTATCAATGTTTTTTCTTCTTTTATCTTCACCCTGCTATTTGACACAGTTTGATGGGGAGGATAGGTGTTGTTATCTTTGGATGTTTTGACGGTTTAAGGGTAATGTGTGGGACGACAAATGAGCACACCAGATGCAGCACGAATAAACCCAAAACTAGCGATGCATTTGCGCATGCGCGTCTCGTCGCGTTTGTCATGAAGCAGCGTGTCGTGCTAGGTGAATATAAAACTTTTACAGTGAAAATACATCTAGCTTATTTCGGTATTAATGAAGCTGTAAAATGTCGATGGAATATAGGTTGTTAAAACGGCACAATCTTTTTCCTATACGTAACTCGTTTACAACATAACGAATTCTTGTACCTTTTTAAAAATAGGCATTACTTCGATAAATAAATTAAAAGAAAGGTAAAATAAAAATAAAACAGACAGAACTGTCTTGAACCATTTTATAGTGAAATATAATTTAGTGATGAAAATGTTAACGTTTAAATGAAAATGGCCTAGTAAAAGTCGTTAGGTCCTAATTACTTAACACGCTACGTTTTTGCCATTGCTATCTTTTTAATTGTTGTGGAAGGACTGTCGATGAACACGGCTAGAAAAGTTCAAATTCCTCTTTTCCTCTTGGTTTTCCGTAAATGATTTTGCTTAGCAAATACCAAAACTTGAACGATTCTTCAGTTGAGTGAATGAATATTAAGCTTGGGCGGATCAGATTTGGAAAATTAATTTTGGTTTATCCTTGGCATCATTAAATTCCCAGGAGAAAGATATTTGTTTCAGAAATCCATTAGCACATTTTCTCCCATCAGAAAGTCGGAAATTGGATTTTCAATTTCCATTCCGAAATATGATCTATCAAAGAGAACAATCTTCATTGATGAGGGATACGTGAAATGTAAAGAGCAATTAAGGGGGATTTATACTTCATTTCCGCCAACGAACTTAATTTCTCAATCTCAGGGGCGTGTGTGTATGGTGTTAATGAATTCGTAGCTTGGAAATCTGTTGATATCCCATGGAACTGAGAAGTGTTATTTGACCGAGAGAGGAGTTCATTTCCTATCAAAGTGCAAGTGAAAAAAGTAAACTTAAAACGCTCTTGCGCAAGGCCTTTGCTTCGTCCCCTCCCCCTTTACAGTGAAGTAACAAATAGACACTTGAAACGTACAATACAAACCGAGTGAACGTACGCAAGAGAAACGTGTTTCTCGCTGCTCGCTCGGAAATATCGCAAAGGTTTGAGATCTATTAGGTTCTGTGATATTGTGTTGTTCTTGCATCCATCTTCAACTGTGCATAGGCCAGTTGTATTATTTTCTAATCTATATTATTTGCATTGTACGGCATCGTTCTAAAACGAAGGTTAGATAAGCTAGATCAGATCTATGGACAGAACTCAGACAGTCCGGGTAAAACGCAATAAATTAGGGTTCCTTAGTGTTCCACTCTGTCAATAATATAATATTTCTTTCAATCCTCCTTTCAATGTTTCATGTTCTATGCGGAAGAAACATTCTAACCGTTTGGGTATCGTTCTTATCTGCTATTGATTATTCATGCCACTCAGTACTGGAGGTTGCTTTGGAACCTTTATTGACTTCTAATATCTTAACTAAATTTATTATTTTTATTTCGTTTTCGTAGAGTTTGGTGTCGAGACGTATTTACGTGGCTTGGAGATTTTACCTTAAAACAGAGCAGAAATTCGGTATTTCCGAAACGAATTTTGTGCTCATGTTTTCATCGAGCTTTTATGATTTTGCGCTTTATAATCTGCCTATTTGAAAACTAGTGAATACCGGCTTAAAGTTTACCTGAAGGTCCCTTTTTTCTGGAAGAAAAATATATTCATTATCTGCCTAGATTACATCTGGACTGAATATAAATCTGATGTCAGCTTTTTTTAATTCCTTGAAGTATAACATTGGAAGAATGCAACCAGAGAAACTACCGTTTTAAAAATTCGTTAAAGCGTAGTATATTCCGTATGGATCAGTTTGTACACTCACTTTTAAAATTGTGAAAGTATAGCGAAGAATAATACAACTACAAATATGAGGCTGTTTGTCCAAACTGTCAATTTTTGCAAACACCAAATTACGTATGTAGCTATGAAGTCAATCGAACTTAAAATTCTTGAAACAAGCAGAAATTACGAACGAGTTCAAGAGTGCCCTATGATTGCGTCTTAATTTTAAATTGTCCTATTTTGAAAAGATGGTTGTATTAGTGAATGATACTGGGCATAACGCGTAGTTACCAAAAAAAGAAGTATCTCACACATAGATTATCAGTTTCTTATTTCATCTTTGGAAAATGGCTTAGCAATATCAGTTCAAGTGCGAGGGCTTTCCCGTAACTCAACCTTTTTCAAAAGATTTGTATGCCTTTTCCCTAAATTACTGAAGATAACATTGGGCTCATGGGAATATCACGAGGACTCGCAACGCCTCTTGCATAGAAAACAACGGCGGGACACTTAGCATGTTCTTTCTGATTTCCTCATTAATGATGATGGGAAGAAGCTTTAAGTTGCGATAAGAAGAAGACGGTTTTAAGCGACTCAAAACGAATTGCAGCAGATTTTTCCCTCATGCGTCACTGGGCTCTTTTAATTTGGCAATGGATTGAGCCTCTGAAGGACGTGAATGCCTGCTTGTTTTGAACGCTGAGAGATGTTTTTGAACTGAAAATCGCGGCGTTTGTGTTTTGCCAAGATGTGTAACCAGAACTATTAAAAGCCCTGATTCATTAGACTTCAAAGAGGTTACGAACACTACTTTATTAGTTCAAGGATACATATCGTTCCTATCTTTTCACTTCACCTGTAAAACCGACAAACCAAACCGGTCGGGGAAAACACATTTTCCCAGTTTTAAAATAAGAAAGTTCTTCAGTCACTCAGGTTATATGCTGCGGTACAGTGAATACGACTTGCGAGTAAAATTTTAAGCGTCTTTTATTATTGGGAACGGTATTCAAACGCGCAGAATACCGTTTGTCAAGTCGTTTCCTATATTTTGCGGCTTCGTAGTGTTAATCCCTTTAGTTAAGTAATATTCCTTCGTTTTCTGCGGGTAGTTAGCGGAGATTATTAGACCGGGAAACAATACTGGTTGCGGAAACAAAAGAGGTCGTCTTTCAATACAACCGTCAAAATTATCACAATCTCTTGTAACAGTTATTGACTTAGCGTGAAGACACGGGCCAACAAAACGTCTGAAAACATGGAAGTTTAACTTTGTTACCTGACATAGTAAGTCATCTTATGGCATAAACGTGCTTGTTTTGATTCACGCCATAATCATAAGCGTAAAAGCATACACTTTTTTTTCTGTTCAAACGTAAATAATTTCACAACCAATATATGCGTTTGAAAGGGAAGTTCAGTGAAAAAATAACAACTCGGACAGATTTTATTCCGCTTACTAAGTCAATTTTATCTAACTTGAGCAAACAAACTCGAATTTGTTTTTTATCTTCTAAGCATTCCAGGTGACGTGTTCCCAGAGCCCGTCATCTCATCGTCTAAAATTCAATGTTTTGGTACTTTTCTCATTATGTATAGCATTTAAGTAGCTTTTTTCCCAATCAACGCCCGTTTTTTTAATTACAGTTTTAGTTAACATCGACTGTTCAGTTTTGCCTTTACCTTGTAACAATTTTTTTCAATGTAAATAAAACTATGTAGGTTTTCAGACGTATTCCTATTTCCTAATCTATACCCGCTGTAAACGAACAGCACATAACTTAAGAAATCAGTGATATTCCCTGCTAAAAAGAGAAAGATCGCCGTTTAGTCTGAACAGTTTTGCCGTACCTTCTGCATATTGCTATTGAAATTCTTGGCTTCCAACAGCACAAAAGTTGACCTGGTGGCCGCGACACTTTGATTCAACTTTAAAGCTCTTTTTGCAACCTGAGAAGAATAGCTAAGCCTTTAACAAAGCTGTGAACTCTTTCATTTTTTTTTTTTTTTTGATACATTCAGTTTGTATCACGGACTT